GGCATTACGGTAGTTCCAATAAGGTTTCTCAACTGAATATTGCAGATCCATATATGTAACGATTGGTCAGAGAATGAGTGTTCATCTAGAACTCTCCAATCCTTAACCTCAAGATCTGTGGATAAGGTAATGTCTAAAACTTCATTTCTGCCTGTAGTAATAAATGTAGCTTCTACTCCTGTATTGCATATATGAAGATTTTAATCTACAATGAAATCAAATAATGACTAACCACTTTCATTAGTGTCCGAGCGTCCCCAGATCGTATGATGAGCATTTGCATCGGTTCCAATCAGTACACCAGTCATCCTTTCTGCTGCAGTATGATGACACCATCCATATAGTTTTGCCGTCGATTTCCAGACTCACTGCTGTCTGGTCGTCATCACTAAAATTATTCGAACAGAAACATTTAATGTTCTTTTTAACTAGCACACATGATACTGGTCTACCTGAATCTGTGTCGCTGATGAGTTTATAGTCATTTGTTCTGATTCCACAGATCCAGTTTTCCAGTATCTATGATTCCTGCATCAGAACAATATCGATAGCTGATGCAGCTTTTGAGTGATAGAGGTTAATCTGCAGCAACTTCATCAGGTACTTTAACCTCCACCACCATTTTGTTAGCCTCGTCTGGGAGCCCACTCTCATCAAATAGGTTGCCTAGAGTGGTCACCGACCCCGCATCTGGCTTGTCTTCATGCATAGGAGAGAGTGTATCCACCTCTATCTGACCTAGCAGGTCTTCGCTCTGATTTTCCTCAATAATCTGCTGCCTTGACATTGATCCCTCAGCCGGTTTTTTTAAGCATGGGCTGGTCAGACGTAATCTTCTCCGATTCTTCCGTAGAATCGGTACCATAAACTTAAAGGTTTACCTTCTCGAAGCTGTAGGAGATTACATACCTAACCTCCGTTAGCGGTTTCAACGACTCCGCATTCAATACAAGGACAGCTTGTTTTGTCGGTCCAGCGGTTCTTCTAACTTAACTACCTTCCAATTTCCAGTTGGAAGGTTAGGGTTGCAGATTCTGTTGAGTTTTAAAATCTGCTCAGGGTCGGTTTGTTTGATTGGGACCCAAACCCTGGCCCTAGGACGGCTCGCATCCAAGCCAACCGACATCTTCATAGGAGGAAGTAGGTCCTGGGATTTCTTCCAACACTTGAAGGAAAATGTCTGCCAACACGACCGACACCCATTTCCATTTATCCTTGGGGATGCTCCCCTCCTCGCCACTCCGATCCAGGATACCTAGAATGAGATTGTCTTTCGCAACCTCGCTGTACAGTCGTGCCGGTACAGTGTGAACTCTTGGTTTCTTCGTAAGAGGGGGTTTTTTCTCCTGAGATCTTTGCCTTTCAGAGACTAAATTCGGTTTGGAAGCTTCTTTATTGCTTGATTTTGCCAAGACACTTTTACCCCCTTCAAGGGATGAAGCCTACTGTTGGGTGACTTTGTCGGCTGGAATCTCGCCTACGCGCTGCAGGATTCTTGAAGCCATACGAAGGTCAATATGGGCCTTTTTGAAAGGGGGAATTCTCTTCGAGGATCTGGGTCCTGAATTGTCAATGTTCTTGGCCGTGACAGAAGGGGTAACGCACTTTCCGGTAGCAGAAAGTTTTGTAGGTTTTTTGTTTAAACTTTCCATGTTGATGGGTCCCAACTCAGTTGCGCTATCTCCACCCGACGTATAGTCAGCCCAGAGTTCAGACAATCCATAGTCATTATACAAGCAGTGTCAAAATATAGCCAAGGTTGCCGTTGAAACCATAGTGGCCATGAAGGCCGTTAATCAGAATTTTGCCTCGCAATAACCAATCCGACAAGGAAGCCCCTAAGGACACATATTAATTATGGTCAATATTTAAGATGGGTGTCACATTGAAATAAAACTAAAGTCCAAAAATGCTATTGATTACTACAACTACAAAGCGTGGTATTCGACCGTTCTGTCTGCTCTGCTAGATTTTAGGCAACTATTATATTAATTTCATGTATAAAATAATCAAAATTAATAAATGCAGATACCGACTCCTTTGCATCAGTTTCCTGATATTAATCTGAAATAATATTTTTTAATAATAATATTAATATTAATAATATTTTTTGTTAAATAGTATATGATATTTTATAATTATATTAAATATATATTTAATAAATAAACTTATTTCTATATTTTTATGTATTAATTATATATTTTATTTATAGAAAATGTTTAAAAAGTTCTTATCTGTTGTTTGTTTTGAATTTTGATTATTTGTTTATGTTTACATTTTGTTTCATGTGTCAAATATGTCAAATTTCGATCATTTCCCTGTTGCATTCGTCATTTTTGGAATAATTTTGGACAAATTTTGTTTTGCTATATTCTATAGTAAGTGAAAAAGCACGAAAGCTCTTTGTATGGTTAATGAAATTTACTCAGTAAGTTAAGCTTACTAAGTAAGCAGTGTAAACGTACTATTATAATAAAAATATTTCAACGCAACGTACATACCACGTCCATTGCATTAAGAATAGTTAAACCAACTAAAGTTATAAAGTAACTTTTCAATTCAAACAGTAATCATATGCTGTTACTTAAATCAAAGCTGATGATCAAAAAATAATACAATTTGCTTTTTATTCTTGTAAGTGAAAATACATCGATGTATTACTTTATAGTTCACATTGTTATAAAACTGCTTTCAAAATTGTTGATATGCTTTTATTTAATTTATATTTGAACAATTATGATTTAATACAATTTATTTTACTAAGAAACATTAACTTGTCCACAATACATATTACATTACTCTGTCATATATTAAGAATATAATTTAAATTAACCCAAATAAAAGTTTATATTTTCGTCACCCGATTGATTTTACTTTATTAACTCTATATGCCTTTTTATTTAATTAATATATGATAAACTACGTTTCATTACAATATCCCGATCAATTTGAAAGTTTCTAGTGGTGATAAAGCAGTATTGTCATAAGATACACAACCATAAATTAGTTTAGGTCTAATTCGTTACTTATAAAGCAAGAGTTTAATTTTTCAAGTTCAAATTTCATTGTATTAATGGTTTTAGAACAGTAAGACTTATGTTATGATTGCAGCTAAATTCACCAAATGTTGTTGCTTTCAATGCAAACTGAAGTGAGCTGTCAGTGTCAAATTTTCATTTTGCATTGAAAAGCAAAAACAATTGGGTCACATGTCCGCAATTATAACATGCCATTAACCAAATGTATTAACTGTCAAAATTTAGACCTAACTTTTTCACATTATCTTCTCATTATATTTCCATAATTTTGACTTCTATTTTTCTTGGATCTTAATATTTTTGTTTTGTAATATAAATAGTTTTCGTTTTTTCAGCATTTATCTTAATTCTCCACGTTCTAAAATATCTAATTATCCTGTAAATATTTAATTATTTTTTAACAATAAATATGTTGAATTTGCAGAATGTAAATAAACAATAGTATTCGACTTTTCATTAATTGCAGTTCATCAAAAAAGTCAGCTTGGGTAACTAGTTTGGTAAATTGCATTATTTATATTTATTGCAATCAATCAATGCCAGTTTGGGCAGTTCGTAATATGTTAAATATGCACATGTTACACAAATTATTTAGCACACATTTGATACTTTAACATTTCAGCACTGACATGAGTTTAGCATAGAGGTTTTAAGCGGCAGTGAACTACAATAACAGAAATTAATTCCTTACCGTTCGAAACCTTTCTCTTAAATACAATAGTTTCATTGAGTAAAATAGTCACTTCCGTCATAAGCGACGTTAAAATGCAATTTAATGAATTTAGCATGCTAAATAAAAAGTGTGAAGAAACTGTTTTGATACTTTGTTAAAAGAAAATCATTGATAAATTCGAATACTCCAACTCAATAGCACACAGGTTAGTTTTTTCAGATTCCCAAAATTATTGTCAATTTCTATTTGAAAAGATTCAATAAAAAAATTAATTAAAGAAAAAAAAACTTTGTTAAGCACTTCATGTACAAGTTGTGAGCATGCATGCAGTTATGCTTCACTTATACATTCAGGACTCTTCATTACGGAAATTGACAGTGTGTAGTGCGTTTTAAATTATTGGCATACCGCAATTTATAATTATCGATAACATTTTTAAACAAACCAGGATTATTTTGATTTGCTTGCGCATTGGAAGCGGTGCTGGTTGCAATGCCGAATATAACAAAAAATATAGATTTTAATATGGAAGTTGATGTCTTGACATCCGCAACTGTTGCAAACGTTGTAAACTCAATTCTTGAATTCCTTTTGTATCAACGAAATCAGATTCCTTTCGTGTATAAAACATTAAAACATTACACTCAGTTGTGGGAGGACCAAAGTCAAGACGATGAAGTTACGACTGTAAGGCAGTTTAATATAAATAGACAAAGGGATTTAGTTAAAACGACGAAGGATTCAATAAGTGAAATGCGTCAGGTTAGTCACAAAAATTTCAAAGGAAAAATTAATTAACCATTTTCTTTCCTTATTAGCTAATACATACGTCATTTCAAAACAACATTATAAAAAGGTTGCGTTTCCTATTTGGTACAACGACTTTAACACCGAGAGAAGCCTATACAATACACATACCCACAGAGTCAATAGCAATTAAACACTATTATGAGCATCACCAAATGTCGCCAGCAGCGCTTAACAAGGCTTTAGTGTATGTGCCCATAATAAATACTTAGTACAAAATTAAAATAATCTTAATTTACAGTAATTTGGTAACAACGCAGGAATTGTATGATATATTTACACACGACTTAAACACTACAAATGTTTACTTAGAATTAGAAATGGTAGATGATATTAACGCAATTAACAGCTCCCGCATGTTCCGTAAAACAATAAGTCAATTGCCTCAAAGCTGCAAAGACATACATTTCCACTTATTGCATGTTTCCTCTGCCAATTTTGAAAACAATTCTCTAAAGTGCTGTAAGGAGCTAAAAATATTTGAGGACTCCGAAATTTTAGAAGTTACAGAAGATTGTGCAAATACAAGCAATGACACAAGTTTAGAGCAAAAACAAGATCAACTTGAATGGTATGAATCTGAAGTGATAGTGCGTGGTTTGAAAGATAAAACTGTGCACGGTATGAACATGTGGAGAAAATAATTTCTTATTTCCGAAAGCCGACTGATTCTAAAACGCATGCAATACAAATTATTTTATTACATTTAATCCACAGAAATTTTTCGATAGTGTTATATCGTATTTCTAATATCCCATTTATTTGATTTAAGAGCGGTTTGTTGCTTGAAATTGGAATATTTTAATCTTCGCACAAAAGTACAAACAATATATACAATTATAAATTACATGTTATTAAAGATTTGCACATATTAATGATGTTTATAATTCAGCAATAAATTATTAATATATCTTAGTTATAATTATTTTTAAACTTATTAGTTTAATGTTTTAAAAAATTTATTTTGAATTAGTGGAAATAAAATAAATCAAGATGGCAATATAAATGTATGCGTTTATGTATTTATTATGTAGACTAGTCTTCCACGTCTTTTGTTTATTTACGAAAACATTATTTTCCAAAAAATTATTTTTCTTTATTGTAGTATTTAAAATAGCACAAAATGTTTATAATCTTATTGCTATAGCCTGTTGAGTCCTAAGAAAGCAAGTTCATAAAAGAATGACATGTATACAAAAAGAATAAAAAGGATTAACCTCCCTTAACGTATAAGAGTTAAACAGGATAAGGAATGGATGTTAAATTTTGTAATCACAGTGACTAGTTAGAAAGGAGGAAAACGAAAGTCTCTTTCATCGTAAGGTTGGTAAGTTCACATAAACCGTTCTCAAAAAGTTACGACCAATTATACTCACATTTTTGTTCCAAATAACACTGGAGAGATTGATTTGTGAACACATAAGAGAAGTTATCCTTAGTGGTAAATTTTTCTCTTAACGACATGC